TAGTTAATAGAAATTTAGAATTTGTGCTTGCGATGCTTATGTACTTTTCACTATGCTTAGAAAACATTGTATTTTTGCATGACTGAAATAACTAATAAAAGATGTTTATGTTCTTCATTCTTCAAACTGAGAAGTTGATTCATTTTTAAGTAGCAAATTTAGACTCACTGGTTAAAATATAGCTTAATTAAACTATATAACTTCAATATTGAGTTTACTTTAAGATTACAGTTTTGAGTTGAATAGTGTTAAGTAGCTATTACGGTGTTAAGAAGATACCGTTAGTATTTTGCAATTATATATTGTGTTTCCTCCTGAGTGCCATTTGGACAGTGATTTTCCTGGCTGTATTCTGCTAAGCCTCAGGGCTGCTGTGCAGGTTAAGATAGGGTTGGGTCAGCAAGCCGTGCTTCAGCCCATTTCTCCTTTTTACCTTCACCTAATCTCTGTATTTATTTATTCTGTGCAGGATTCTGTATAAGATTTCCTCTTGGACAAAAGTTTATATTATATTTAAAAATCTGGAGACAATTGCATGCCTAGCAGTTATTTTAGCAATTCTAAACCTGTGTTGATGTCCTCCTTTCGTACTCCTGTAGAGATCTGGTAAAAAAAAAAAAATCGACTTTTTACACTGGAATCTTGATCAGTGATTTATACAAACACTATTTGTCTCTTTGCCTCTCTCCTCCTATCCTCTCTCTAACTTACAGACATTTTTTTAGCATTTACTTTATGTGACCACAATATATGGTACAGGATTTTGGTCCTGTACTGTTTACAATAAAATCTTTAAATCTACAGCAGATAGATTTCTCAGAGACATTTCCACTTATATTTCTAAAATAAAATTATGTGCTTTTACCTTTAGAAAAATTTAGAATAAGAGAAGTTTACCTTCACAGATGATTTATGTTCATCTTCAGTGTGTAGATAAAGTACCAGTCTGGATGCTGGATTTAAAACTTGTGAAAACTAGAAAGTTGGGAGCTAAAAACCAATATGGCTGGATTGCGTAGCCTAAAAGTTAGCAAATATATACTACAGGTCTATGAGATAGTTGCTAAAGTGGTTTCATTTATATGTACCTCAGTAAATACGTCGTTGAGAGAAACTAATTTGAGATGCATATATTTGGTTAAATCTTTAGTTCAGGAAATGTCCAAAAACCAATGACAGAACCAATCTCTCCTTCCTTGTAAGCACCTTTTTCCTTAATGAACAAAATTCCACAATTCCCTCACCTCTTTGATTTCAAACAGCATTTTGTGGTCACTTTGAATAATCTGAATATTTGTATTTGTCATGTATCTGAAAATAATGTTAAAATGAATAATTACATACAACATGCTGTGGGTGGGGACAAGGGAAATTTGGACTATGAATTTAAGAAGTTTAGTGATTTTTAAAATAATAATTTTAATTTCTGAACTTCCATAAGAAATTGAAGAATGCATTATAGTTCCTATTTCCTATTTAAGGAGGCGATAACTCCACTTTTCCTATATGATGGTTTGTGGTTGCAGTTGATTTCTGCACAAGTAGGTAGAATATTGCAGCTGTCTTTTCAGTAGAGGAGCAGCAAGGAATCCCTTTACTTTCTTAATTCTTTCTTACCCCTTCTAAAGATATTTATTATATATATTTTAGTGAGCTAATGCTTTGTGTTTTTATGGAAATGATACTCAGTTTCATTTTAGTCTTGCTTATTCATTGGTTATTCTTTTATCATTTCCCGTTTTCCTGTTGATAATCTATGTGTTTCTAGGCTCAGCTCACCAATCGGAAACAGAAGTTAGAGTCTGTGGAGCTTTCCACCCAATCAGAAATTCAGCACCTGAGCAGTAAGCTGGAGCGGGCCAATGACACTATCTGTGCCAATGAGTTGGAAATAGAGCGCCTCACCATGAGGGTCAATGACTTGGTTGGAACCAATATGACTGTTCTGCAGGAGCAGAGGCAAAAAGAAGAACAATTGAGGGAATCTGAAAAACTGTTAGAGGTATGTTTTTAAATTACTATAATTGGGGGAAGTGTGTGTTTGAGTGCTAGAGAATAATTAACTTAGAACGAGGTTCCAAAATCTGTACTTTCTTCCCTACTCTGTAGCTGAAGGATCAGATATTGATAACTTTGTTAATATTGTGAATAATATA